AATGTTGATGTTACCCCACCGCCATAGTGTGAACGGGCTCTGGAGGTCTAAACGGGTCTCTCCAAGATTCCTTGTGTGCGCTGTGCACCGGGTTCTCGGCTCCCCGATATAACAGGAAGGAGCTCTCCGGAGAGTTCTCTGCGAGCGCGGATTATTTTTATCCCGCGTAGACCTACAAGAGATGTTTGTTTAGTATTTTTCACAGTTATTGTAGACATAACAAAGCTCCCTTTTCCTCTGTCTGGTCCTTGGCAAGCTGAACAAGCTGTCTTGGCTGACAACAGGCCGACTTGCTAAACATCTTATTTAAGGCATGAACACGAGCAATCCCCGGAGATGATGAGCCGGATAATATAACCTCAGATTTTAGCGGCATGACGGCTATGCTGGAAACGAGGAGAAAATGGCAAATTAAAGAGGCTGAGTGGTCGTTATACGCTGTCAGGTTCCATGTATTATATCAGTGTCGAGAAATGTTATATCACGCCAGGCTGGCAGGGCCGAGGCTACCGCAGTCCTACCAGAGGCGAGCCACTCAAACAGGATTTCCTTCTAAACAAAACGCTTGTTTATTAAGGAAGAGGCTCAGCGTGTGCGCCCTCATTGTCTGCTAACAATAGCCCTGGATGAAACCTTCGCCGGGTTATTCCTGGACCGAGCACTACAAGCCGCTCCGTAGCTGCGCGAGTGGCATTGTGGAAATACGGCTCCCGGACTGGCAGCCGGAGGCTTGGCAAGACCTTCCGAGGAGAGGAAACAGTTTATAAAAAGATGTATCTTCCTCTATGGACCTGCCAGGTACCCTCGTACATAAGCGGGACGCCGCGCTGATACTTGGAAGCCGCTCCTGCGCTTTGTTTAAGGATCATTTTCATGTCTTGGAGTCTTTCCTTCATTAGGATCTTCATTATGGAGCTGCCAGATCTGATGGAGAGAATGATCTCACGCGTCGTTACATATGGAAATGTTGCCATGTTGATGTTATTTATTTATTCCCGGTCTGTTCCGTTATAATACAGACAGTGAAATCTGCAGTGTTCAATCATTGATGCTCATTGCAGTGCCCTCTTACATTGGTGGTTAGTGGAGAAAGGCCCCTTACATTGGGGGTCAGTGGGAAGAATGTCCCTTACATTGGGGGTCAGGGGGAAGAATGTCCCTTACATTGGGGGTCAGTGAGAAGAATGTCCCTTACATTGGGGGTCAGTGAGAAGAATGTCCCTTACATTGGGGGTCAG